TTTGGCATCACTTAACGCAAAGTAAAAACCAAGTTAAATATCAATAACTGCACACATGACTTAAAGGCTTTAAAGGGATTTCAAAGAATTTTTCTAGGGGCGTTTTGACTGAAATATGATTGTTTTAGAGATCTAAAGCATGGTGATTGATGGATACTAATGAGAATCACATCACAGGCACAGGCCTTGAATACTGTAAAGGTTCCTATGACAAGAGTTGTGAAATGTGATACCGTTGATGTAAAGCTTACATTCCATGATTTACTCAAAGCTTTTATTGATAATGTCAATATCTGAATACTCCAAAAGTAATCTACAACTCACAATATCAATACATCTAAATCCACATTACAGAAAGTCTATGTAGTCCTACAGGGACATGTGGTAGAATAAAGACCTACAGGGACATGTGGCAGGATAAAGACCTACAGGGACATGTGGCAGGATAAAGACCTACAGGGACATGTGGCAGGATAAAGACCTACAGGGACAAGTGGCAGGATTAAGGCCTACAGGGACATGTGGTAGAATAAAGACCTACAGGGACATGTGGTAGGATAAAGACCTACAGGGACATGTGGCAGGATTAAGACCTACAGGGACATGTGGCAGGATTAAGACCTACAGGGACATGTATCAGGATTAAGACCTACAGGGACATGTCGCAGGATTAAGACCTACAGGGATTTGCAAGGATGAAGATCAAAAGGGCTTTGAAAGGGTTAAGGCCAACAGGGGTATGTAAGGATTAAGACCATCAGGGACTGGAAGGATTAAGACCAACAGGGATTTGTAAAGATTAAGATTAAGAGGTATTTGAAAGTATTAAGTCCAACAGGGATTTGTAAGGATTAAGACTTACAGGGATTTGAAAGGATTAAGACTAACAGGGATTTGAAAGGATTAAGACTAACAAGAATTTGAAAGGATTAAGACCAACAAGAGTACCTAAAAATTAAGACCAATAGGGGTATGTAAGGATTAAGACCAACAAGGGTATGTAAAGCTTAAGACCAACAGGGATTTGAAAGGATTAAGACCAACAGGGGTATGTAAGGATTAAGATCAACAGGGGTTTGTTAGGATTAAGACCAACAGGGGTATGTAAGGATTAAGACCAACAGGGGTATATAAGTATTAAGACTATCAAGGGTATATAAGGATTAAGACCAACAAGGGTATGTAAGGATTAAGACCAACAAGGGTATGCAAGGATTAAGATCAACAGGGGTTTGTAAGGATTAATACCAACAGGGGTATGTAAGGATTAAGACCAACAAGAGTATGTAAGGATTAAGATCAACAGGGGTATGTAAGGATTAAGACCAACAAGGGTATGTAAGGATTAAGATCAACAGGGGTTTGTAAGGATTAAGACCAACAGGGGTATGTAAGGATTAAGACCAACAGGGATATGTAAGGATTAAGACCAACAGGGATTTGAAAGGATTAAGATCAACAGGGGTATGTAAGGATTAAGACCAATAGGGATTTGATAGGATTAATCATTCTATTAATGTCAGTTAAACATTATGATTGTATTAATAGTATTTTTCATCGTTTCTGTGTTATCAAGAACAATTTGGACCCTATTGATTTCATACACTAGCTTTAACCATCTGATGTCGTCTGGACAAGTAGGGTTCTCCAACAATTTATTAAAAATATATTTCATTCAAGTACATATTTAAGATTTAAGTTGAATCATTTTGGTGTTTGATTTCAGTCCAAAATCATTTTACTAGAATGTGAGAGCTTGATAGGATTCCTGGTTGTGATAACAGCCTTACATCAATACCTAATGGTTTTCTTGGTCAACCAAGCCATGACATCACCAATTTGTCCAATTAATGACTATTTCTTGACGCAACAATAAGATGCATTTTTGGTAAATAAAAGAGTTATCTCTCTTTGCTCAAGCACTTAGTAACTGTGAGTATTCAATCCTTTGTAAGTAACTTTAATCTAATTTCTCTATTTACAAACATTCGAAATTTATTTTTATGTTCAAAACAATTCCCCATTATTTTATTTAGCAACAAGCCCAGGAGAGCCAAATCACATCTAACTTGAAGTTAACAGGTGGGCTTATTACAAGACAAAGAAATGGTATTTGTAATGGGACTGTGATGGCTACTTGTTACTAGATAGTTGGCCTATGTAACCCTAGGGAAAAATCTCAAGTACACAGTTCTACGCTTCCTTCTCGTGGCAGATTGTGCATCTCAGGAAGATGAGAAATGGACAAGTCTGTACAAGTCACTTTCAATTTTTTGCTTTGTATTGCATGTGGTGGGCCTTCCATATGTTGTTCAATGAGGTAATTACTAGCTTTCCTGCCTCAAAATGACCCTGGCTGCTCATAAGGCGATAAAACCAGCAAAATACAGTTCTGATTAATAATAATCAATAACAGCAATACATTTAGATAAGTTTATTACCAGGCATGGGCTTATTGGCGAATAAATAAGGAATTAATTATGAAATTTCAGTGTTTGTAATTAACACATATGATTAATTCACATCAATCATCAGCTTGAGACATTATTCTTTTTTTTTTTTCAATTTCACTAAGCGTTTGCCTCCAAGTACCACCTATTTCATATTAAAATATTTGTTACTGAGAAATAGGTATATACTGCATATCATCAATCTGATACAGACACAACATCTGTCCTGTCATTTATCTACAGCCTAACAACCCTTAGATACCAAAACAAAACCTCTCAGACAAGATTATCTCCCTTTTTATCTGTTGTTTGCACCATAAAGACAATCTTTATGTTACAGTCAGTATGTTTGTGAATTTAGTGTTATTATGCATGGTTGATAATTTATCTTTAAAATATTGGTGCACACTATTTATCTTGTTACAATAAAGACAGGACATCCATTACCATAACTTTAAACCTAATATCAGTAAAATATCCATGTTAATGGTGTTGGAAACTAAACACTGATGGACATTAAAAATTATGAAATGAACCATGGTTAGCAATCAAGTGTTATGAAGTACATAACATATATTTTAAACATTTTCTATTTTTCTTTTTTTTTTCCTAAACCACTCTAATCTCAAATTTCTAGACATGTAGATGAAATAGTGCTATCCTAACCCCTTGCCCCTTTTTAACCCTTCCTAAAACATGTCATAAACAAAACCCTCCAAACCTGTTATAAAATATAACAACTAATGTGGATCATAAACAATCTGAAGAACCATGAATAATGAATCAATAACCCAGATACAATTTCTCTTTATAGAAATGGCTTCATAAAAAAAAAGATTGGAATTGGATGCCCAAATCACAATTGTAGACATGCCAGAGGTAGCGTATGATTATGAGAGTTAGCATCAATGTCTCATTGACGAAAATGTGTCTAAGAATGACAGGTACAATAACTTCAGTGGAATTCAAACCAGACAGAGAAAAGAAGCAAAAAAATTTAAAAGAATTTGATAAAAAAAGGACCAGACAAATACAGAAGTAGTGACAAAAGAAAGAGAGACTGAGATCTGCTTCAAGAGACAATTTCAACTTTCATATAAACCAGTATACAACAAACGCTTTCTGTCATTTTTCTAACGGTGTGTCCTCCTGGTAAACACGGATGCTAAGACTAGTACAGTGACTGTATACAGAGTGGTACAATCAATGAACAACCTGTTAATAGTCCTCAACTTAAAAATGCTGAAAGAACATGCTAGTGGTTCTTATCTTGTAAGTATCAGCTTCTATACTTTCTATCTAAAACACAAGTCAATTTTACTAAAGTTGTTGAGATATTTAACCATTGGGTTGTCATCCACATCAAAGAACTGCAGGAACTGTAGAGATCAAAGAACTAAAGACATCATAAAATCATAGATATCACTGAAACATAATTACCGCTGAACCATAAATTTCACAAAATCATAATTACCACAGAACCACAGATATCACAGAACCACAGATATCAAAGAACCACAGATATCACAGAATTATAGATATCACAGAACCACAGATATCACAGAACCACTGTTATCACAGAACCACAGATATCACAGAACCACTGATATCACAGAACCACTGTTATCACAGAACCACTGATATCACAGAACCACAGATATCACAGAACCATAGATATCACAGAACCACTGTTATCACAGAACCACTGTTATCACAGAACCACAGATATCACAGAACTATAGATATCACAAAACCATAGATATCACAGAACCACAGATATCACAGAACCACTGTTATCACAGAACCACAGATATCACAGAACCACTGTTATCACAGAACCACAGATATCACAGAACCACTGATATCACAGAACCACTGTTATCACAGAACCACTGATATCACAGAACCACAGATATCACAGAACCATAGATATCACAGAACCACTGTTATCACAGAACCACAGATATCAAAGAACTATAGATATCACAAAACCATAGATATCACAGAACCACAGATATCACAGAACCACTGTTATCACAGAACCACAGATATCACAGCACCACTGTTATCACAGAACCATTGATATCACAGAACCACTACTATCACAGAACCATTGATATCACAGAACCACTATTATCACAGAACCACAGATATCACAGAACCAGAGATATCACAGAACCACAGATATCACAGAACCAGAGATATCACAGAATCACTGTTATCACAGAACCACATATATCACAGAACCACAGATATCACAGAACCACAGATACCACAGAACCAGATATCACAGAACCACTGTTATCACAGAACCACAGATATCACAGAACCACTGATACCACAGAACCACAGATACCACAGAACCACAGATATCACAGAACCACAGATATCACAGAACCACAGATATCACAGAACCACAGATATCACAGAACTATAGATATCACAGAACCATAGATATCAGAGAACCACAGATTTTAGAAAGACAATGCATTGCATTTTTATTCTACCTTTCCAAGATGTGTAGATTGTTAACATCCAGAACCATAATTATTAGGTAAAACACATAGCATCAACTGAATTACAAATCAAATCCATAAGTGTCAACATCATGCAGATGGAAAATCATACAGACATCTGTGTAAGATCAAATGGTGATCTGAACATTCTCGGTAGATAACAAAACAAGGCAGAAGAACAGAAAATATAAGTGAAAATAAAGATCCTTATCAATACAAAATCATTATCAGTGTGGTACATATTAAACACAACTAAAATCAAACATCAATGAGTGCCAATAGATTTGACAGTAGAACCATAAACATGTGTTAGGAACTCCACAACATAAAGTAGAGCTGCGATCAATTCTAAACAATGAAGTTGTCATTACGGTTCTATACCCAAAGTCTGCCAGGTGTTGATGTGCAAGTGAACAAAATCAAGGTTAGGTATCATTCAAAACTCAAAACATTCTCACTATTTCTACCTGTAGGTAGAATTAAAATGATTATACTGAAATGGGATGATCAAATGCGTGTCCACAAAATTCAATGTAATTAACAAACAGTGATACGTAGATTACAAACAAAATCAAAATGGGGAAAAACACTGCAAACAGGATGTGCACAAAAAACTGTTTAATATGACCAGCTTACCAATGATGAACTCAAAATTGGCAGAGAATCCTCTTTTAGCATAGGCTCCATGTGTGTCCAGGGTAAGCACCATGCGTGAGTCTTTACTGTTAAGGTCTGGGGGTATCAGTTTCCCACAAAATTTTTCTGTGCCATTGTTGACCTTTTGACCCTCTACCAGGAGATGGCCTCTAGTACAGCTCCAAAAAATCAAAATCAAACAACAGAACTTAATGAGCATCTCTAGAATTGTTGGTCATTTTACTGTTATAGGTCAAGATAAACAAGTGATCCCAGAGGTGTCTTGGTGTCCACCAATGATCTTTCCTCATCATTCCCTCCTTTATAATATTATAGAAATATACTAATCGTGTTTACATATCTGAGAAATGGAAGAATTTTACATCACAGGATGTCACTGTGTTACATATCATAATCCAAAAGACTTGTACGATGATAGATTCAGAAAGTTGTCAGTCAAAAGTCTTGTAAGGTTGTAGTTTACTAGAGTTAGTCAGCAAAAGATTTGTGATGTCATAGATTCAGAAATTTGGCTTTAGTTTGTCAGTCAACAAACTTGTAATGTCATATACTCAGAAAATTGACTAAGGTTTTCAGCAAAAGGACTTGTTAGGTCATATACTCAGGAAGTTAGCCAGAGTTGGTTGGTATAAAGACTTACGAGGTCACATCTCCAGAGCCCATTGACCCAGAAAGTTCAAAGTCTGTGAATGACACCATGACCTTCTCAGAGTTGGATGGATTGCTGATACCGTCTAGGTAGTAATGACACGTAACATTGATGGGGTAATCGCGGGGATACCCTGGTGATCTCACAGTGCCATTGGATCCCTTCTTACTCATGATCTTCACATCACATTCTGTAAGTATAAACCAGATCTGTAAGTTACGCTTTATATAAAACTCATATAAAAGTCACCTGTATTGAGATTTTGAACAAAGAAACCAACACAAACAACTTTAAGATAAATAGCACTGGGACCATACAAATTATACTGGGGCTATACAAACTGTTCTTTGACTAAATGAACTGTACTGGTATGACTGATTCCAGTTAAATGTGTTCTCATTTTTAGTATGCCACACAGACTGTTATGGTATTTCAGTGGATTCCATTACAGTAGAATATATAGGGAGGGTAAGTGAGGGTACAACAAGTGGTCACCACTACAGTACACTATATAGACAGGACAAGTGAGGGTACAACATGTGGTCACCACTACAGTACACTATATAGACAGGACAAGTGAGGGTACAACATGTGGTCACCACTACAGTACACTATATAGACAGGACAAGTGAGGGTACAACATGTGGTCACCACTACAGTACACTATATAGACAGGACAAGTGAGGGTACAACATGTGGTCACCACTACAGCACACTATATAGACAGGACAAGTGAGGGTACAACATGTGGTCACCACTACAGCACACTATATAGACAGGACAAGTGAGGGTACAACATATGGTCACCACTACAGCACACTATATAGACAGGACAAGTGAGGGTACAACATGTGGTCACCACTACAGTACACTATATAGACAGGACAAGTGAGGGTACAACATGTGGTCACCACTACAGTACACTATATAGACAGGACAAGTGAGGGTACAACATGTGGTCACCACTACAGTACACTATATAGACAGGACAAGTGAGGGTACAACATGTGGTCACCACTACAGTACACTATATAGACAGGACAAGTGAGGGTACAACATGTGGTCACCACTACAGTACACTATATAGACAGGACAAGTGAGGGTACAACATGTGGTCACCACTACAGTACACTATATAGACAGGACAAGTGAGGGTACAACATGTGGTCACCACTACAGTACACTATATAGACAGGACAAGTGAGGGTACAACATGTGGTCACCACTACAGTACACTATATAGACAGGACAAGTGAGGGTACAACATGTGGTCACCACTACAGTACACTATATAGACAGGACAAGTGAGGGTACAACATGTGGTCACCACTACAGTACACTATATAGACAGGACAAGTGAGGGTACAACATGTGGTCACCACTACAGTACACTATATAGACAGGACAAGTGAGGGTACAACATGTGGTCACCACTACAGTACACTATATAGACAGGACAAGTGAGGGTACAACATGTGGTCACCACTACAGTACACTATATAGACAGGACAAGTGAGGGTACAACATGTGGTCACCACTACAGTACACTATATAGACAGGACAAGTGAGGGTACAACATGTGGTCACCACTACAGTACACTATATAGACAGGACAAGTGAGGGTACAACATGTGGTCACCACTACAGTACACTATATAGACAGGACAAGTGAGGGTACAACATGTGGTCACCACTACAGTACACTATATAGACAGGACAAGTGAGGGTACAACATGTGGTCACCACTACAGTACACTATATAGACAGGACAAGTGAGGGTACAACATGTGGTCACCACTACAGTACACTATATAGACAGGACAAGTGAGGGTACAACATGTGGTCACCACTACAGTACACTATATAGACAGGACAAGTGAGGGTACAACATGTGGTCACCACTACAGTACACTATATAGACAGGACAAGTGAGGGTACAACATGTGGTCACCACTACAGTACACTATATAGACAGGACAAGTGAGGGTACAACATGTGGTCACCACTACAGTACACTATATAGACAGGACAAGTGAGGGTACAACATGTGGTCACCACTACAGTACACTATATAGACAGGACAAGTGAGGGTACAACATGTGGTCACCACTACAGTACACTATATAGACAGGACAAGTGAGGGTACAACATGTGGTCACCACTACAGTACACTATATAGACAGGACAAGTGAGGGTACAACATGTGGTCACCACTACAGTACACTATATAGACAGGACAAGTGAGGGTACAACATGTGGTCACCACTACAGTACACTATATAGACAGGACAAGTGAGGGTACAACATGTGGTCACCACTACAGTACACTATATAGACAGGACAAGTGAGGGTACAACATGTGGTCACCACTACAGTACACTATATAGACAGGACAAGTGAGGGTACAACATGTGGTCACCACTACAGTACACTATATAGACAGGACAAGTGAGGGTACAACATGTGGTCACCACTACAGTACACTATATAGACAGGACCACTACAGTACACTATATAGACAGGACAAGTGAGGGTACAACATGTGGTCACCACTACAGTACACTATATAGACAGGACAAGTGAGGGTACAACATGTGGTCACCACTACAGTACACTATATAGACAGGACAAGTGAGGGTACAACATGTGGTCACCACTACAGTACACTATATAGACAGGACAAGTGAGGGTACAACATGTGGTCACCACTACAGTACACTATATAGACAGGACAAGTGAGGGTACAACATGTGGTCACCACTACAGTACACTATATAGACAGGACAAGTGAGGGTACAACATGTGGTCACCACTACAGTACACTATATAGACAGGACAAGTGAGACAGGACAAGTGAGGGTACAACATGTGGTCACCACTACAGTACACTATATAGACAGGACAAGTGAGGGTACAACATGTGGTCACCACTACAGTACACTATATAGACAGGACAAGTGAGGGTACAACATGTGGTCACCACTACAGTACACTATATAGACAGGACAAGTGAGGGTACAACATGTGGTCACCACTACAGTACACTATATAGACAGGACAAGTGAGGGTACAACATGTGGTCACCACTACAGTACACTATATAGACAGGACAAGTGAGGGTACAACATGTGGTCACCACTACAGTACACTATATAGACAGGACAAGTGAGGGTACAATGAAGAGTTTATGTGACAGGTCCCTTATATAATTCTCCTTTTCTGAACACCAGCATTCTATCTACAGATACAATGGTCATGATTACTTTTCCCAATCTTTCTGTCTTCTATATTATCTTAATATAATCTGTAGTTTCTGAACTGTTAAATGAATATAAATTAGAATACCATTTTAATCACACATGAAGGGAATTTCATTTCCAGTAAATGCAACCTAATTTTCAGAGTGTTACAAACACATGATGGTATGGTTAAATGCACTCATGCAGATACATTTGGAGGATGAAAGGATCAGTCTCACTTCTAATACAATTACAACTGCTTCTAAACTAGTGCATGTTTTTCTTACAAATATTCCCCACATTTAGAAGCACCCATATGACAAGTCTTAGGATGCTAAGAATGATTACTTGTACTCCTGGGAGAGCTAGGTGTAGCCTTTTTTGTTTTCTTTCACCAGCTATAACCCCTATGTAAGCTTATTCTTGGCTTGCTTTCTTCACTTTGAAGTGCACCGACAAAACTAATCCATATGCTACAATTCAGTATGGAGTGCACAGACAAAACTAATCCATAAGCTGCAATTTGGTATGGCGTTAAGAGGCTAAACTAATCCATAAAACTATTTTTTGTGGTTATGTAACCGACAGGTCATTTTGAATACTGATTTACCAGCTAAATCAACATTATCACCAAGTCTAAGAGTACAGCAGAACCAGAATTACGGGGAAATGTAGTACCAAAGTTAGGAAGTACCATTTTGTAACATCAGAATACAGATTATTGATGACCACAGGAGCAACAGGTGCATGAAACATCCTTTCTGCCTCTAATGGAAACAGATTTTTGATAACATTTTGATTAGTTTTGGGTTGGAAGGACAAGAAACCTTTAGAAATAGATACTAGCTCATTTCCTTTTTGGAAATGCAGCTGGGTCCACGGGTCTATTGCACTGTATCAGGACAGGAGGGAGATTTAGCAATACACCATCAGACACAAGACAGATTACAAGTTTTACAAAAGAACATCCTTCTGTTCATTACATGTCAGAGTACGAAGGCAAATTAAAACATCTCAGATTACAAGTGTATCAGACAATCTATCATACTGACTAACAATCTACAAAACAATCAGACAATCTACCATCTTACAATCAGACAATCTACCATCTTACAATCAGACAATCTACCATCTTACAATTACAATCAGACAATCTACCAGGTTACAATCAGACAATCTACCATCTATCCATCTACCAGGTTACAATCAGACAATCAGACAATCTACCATCTTATCTTACAATCAGACAATCTACCATCTTACAATCAGACAATCTACCATCTTACAATCAGACAATCTACCATCTTACAATCAGACAATCTACCAACCTACAATCAGACAATCTACCATCTTACAATCAGACAATCTACCATCTTACAATCAGACAATCTACCATCTTACAATCAGACAATCTACCATCTTACAATCAGACAATCTACCATCTTACAATCAGACAATCTACCATCTTACAATCAGACAATCTACCACCTTACAATCAGACAATCTACCAACTTACAATCAGACAATCTACCATCTTACAATCAGACAATCTACCATCTTACAATCAGACAATCTACCATCTTACAATCAGACAATCTACCATCTTACAATCAGACAATCTACCATCTTACAATCAGACAATCTACCATCTTACAATCAGACAATCTACAATCTTACAATCAGACAATCTTTCACAGACAATCTTCTTACAATCAGACAATCTACCATCTTACAATCAGACAATCTACCATCTTACAATCAGACAATCTACCATCTTACAATCAGACAATCTACCATCTTACAATCAGACAATCTACCATCTTACAATCAGACAATCTACCATCTTACAATCAGACAATCTACCATCTTACAATCAGACAATCTACCATCTTACAATCAGACAATCTACCATCTTACAAGCAGACAATCTACCATCTTACAATCAGACAAT